GATATAAGTTACAGAGCTGTAGGAAACTAACATGAAGACTACTACTTTCTTCTGTTAATACGAATATGGAATATGGAAATTCCTCTGAGAAGTTTTTTTAGCTATTAGATATTGAGCCTACAATATTTTCCAAGTTCTGTTTCCACTAGCTGTTTCACACATTATTTTATGGAAGCAAATGAGTCAAATCATGGTCCAAGTCAGAAAATGACCATGCAGTTGCTACATGCACTTTATCAAATCCAGAGATATTCTGTCTCTTTCAAATATACTCATGATTTGCAAAATTATTCCTTTTTGTCTTTTTGTGAACTCACTATGTTTAAAATTCTGCAAAGCTATGCAAATTGTATCAGTGTTTTACCTGCTTAATTACAATGATCTTAAACATCATTCCACCTCAACTGTCCAATCCTAGGACTTGCCTCCTCCATTACCAAGGGCCCTAACACCCAGTTGTGCGCTTTTACTGCCTAAAAGCTCTCCAACTTGTGCTCTTGTTTACCTCTTCCCTTCACTCACAGAAAAAAAGTGTTGACTATACTTACATTCAAAATCAATCTAGCCATTTGTTCTTTTCTCATCAATTTGCATCTCTTTGGAGAATGGCTCCCACATTTCCCACCTCTCCCTCTCTACTGAATCATGCCCTTCTGTTTATAAGTTCAATTATTTCTAATCCAAAAAGAGAATTCCCTTGACCTCTACAGTTCTTTCTATCTACAATTCAACTTCACCTACTCTTTCAATGAAGATTTTTTGGGAGGAAAAGTTCATGTTGATTACATTTAATTTCACATTTCCCATTCATTCCTCAATTCACTGAGTTCTGATTTCTATACCTCTAAGTTGGAACTCTTCTACCAAGGCTGTAAATGTGTTATAAAACTTAAGGGACAAAAAACAATCCAGGGAAAAAGGAAGGTCTCTTCAATAAATGCTGTTGGGACAACTGGTTAACATTCTGCAGAAATAAGAAGCAAGACCCGCACTTTCAGGATACAGAAAGATCAAATCTAAATGGATAAAATATCTAAGCCTACACCCAGAAATCATCAAACATTTGGAAGTAATAGTTGGAAATTCTCTGCAAGACATAGGTGTAGGCACAGACTTCCTAGAAAAACCATCAACGGCAAAGGAAATCAAGACCAAAATAAACAAATTGGACTACATCAAGCTAAGAAGCTTTTGCACAGCAAAGGAAACAATCAACAAAGTAAAAAAGCAACCAACAGAAATGGGAGAAGATCTTTGCACCCTACACAGGAGACAAGGGGCTAATTTCCAGAATATACAAATAACTCCAAAACAATCATAACAACAAAACAAATAAACCAATCAAAAAAGGGGCAAAAGGAAATGGGCAGACACTTTTCAAAGGAACAACTCCAAACACCTAACAAGCATATGAAAAAATGCTCAAGCCCCCTAGCAATAAGGGAAATTCAAATAAACACTGAGGGTTAGGCATTATTCTAGTGGTTAAGACACCGTTCAGATACCCATGGGGTCTGTGTAGTGGCATTGCATATTAACCTGATGTCTGCAACACCATCAGAAAGCTGGTTCATATTTTGGTTGATCCAGTTCTGATCCAGCTCCCTGCTAATGCCCTTAGGAAAATCAGCAGAAGGTGGCCCAAGTACTTGAACCTCTGAACTCATGTAGGAGTCCCAGAGGCTCATGATTTCAGGCTGGCACAGCCCCAGCCACTGTGGTCATTTTACAAGTGAACCCGTGGTTGGAACACTCTCTCTGTATCTCTGCCTTTCAGAAAACAAACATTTCAAAAAAGACTAACAAGTTCCATGTCAGAGCATTTGAGTTCAATTCTTGATTCTTACAAAAGATTCCTGCTTCCTGCTAATGTAGCAGAGATAGTGATGGGGTCCCTGATGCCAATGAAGGAGCCCTACATTACCCTCCTAGTTCAGTTCCTGTTTTGGGAAGCATTTAGGGAGTGAGATAGCAGAGGTAACTGTTTAAAAACAACTGAAATGCTCATTAAGAGTGGCTTGGATAAACATGGTGTGTGTGTGTGTGTGTGTGTGTGTGCCAAAGGTAAGTAGGCAGCCATTAGAAACAATGTTTAATGGGCATGACAAGGCCCAGTCCATTAGAAGAACAATTCCTGGTTGGTGTTGTGGTTTAGCTCTGCTTGCAATGCCAGCATCCCATGTTAGACAACTGGTTGGCTCCCGATCCAGCTCTCTTCTGATATGCCCAAGAAAGCAGCAGAACATGACTCAAGCACTTGGACCCTGCCGCTCACATGGGGAACCTGCATTGTATTCCTGAGTCCTAGTTTTAGCCTTATCCAGTATTGCTTCTCATAGTCATTTCAGGAGCAAACCACACACAGGAGCACTCTATAATCTACATCTCTTTCTGACTTTAAAATAAAATAAACATTTTTAAAGTAGAATGCTACACACAAATGGCTCAAGTCTGTGGCCAGGGAGAATTTAACAGCATCTCTCCTGCCTAAAGGATCAGACTCCCTGATTTTACCGCCCTGTTCTTTAATCAGATCATTTATTGGTAAACTTAGTGACCCACACATTTTATCATATATATATGTAATTTGTTCTTTCTTGCTACTCCGATTTCCTTACCTCTCTTCTCCCCAACTCCTTTCCTTTTCTCCCTTCTGTTTTCCCCTGCCTTAGAGTGACCCTAGAGAAAGAGTATAGTCTTCTGTATGTTTCATCCTTTCTACTCACCATCTGTTAGTACAAATCTTTAATTTTGTTTTATACTGTATAATGTAATGAACCGGTGCCTTTCATCTGAAAAACATATCTGCCTCAGCTGAGGTTTTCTCATGCATATTAGGATGAGCACAAGATCAGGCTTGCAGAGCCAGAGCTATAATCAGACAAACATAAACTGGGCTCTGGTAAACAAGCAAGAGCTGGGAAAAAAGGCACACTATAAGCACAGTGGTGAGCATGTGAGTTGAAGGGCTAGCACTGTGGCTTTAGCAAATTAAGCTACTGCTTGTACTGCTGGTATGTCATATAGATTCTGATTTGAGACCCAGCTGCTCCACTTTCAAATGCCATATAGATTCTGGTTTAAGACCCAGCTACTCCACTTTCAATCCAGCTCCTTGCTAGTGTGCTTGGGAAATCAGCACAGGAAAGCACAACTTCTTGGCCATCTACACCCATGTGAGAGATCTGGTAGATGCTCCTGGCTCCTCCTGACTTTTCTTTGGCTCTTCCATGATTATTAGAAGAACCAGTGGATGAAAGGGATGAAAGATGTGTGTGTGTGTGCACATTTATACCAGAGAGATTTTTGGTATGAACGATTGCATGGCTTTCATTTTCCCCTCATTTTTCCATCTCTTCTACCAGCCTATACTCAATGTATTGACAGAACTATGCTGAAAAATGAGCCATTTTTAGAACAGAAGCAAAGGAATGACTTACTCCATGAGAAGACTCCCAACCATAAGGTCCCAGAAGGGAATGCCTGTAAGGTGTATGTGAGGAGACATGTATCAGGAATTTCAGCATTGGTAGATATGTCCATGTCCCACTCATCTGGGAGCAGCAGACATGTCCATCTTCAAGCTACCATGCAAACATGGACTGTGAGAATAACAGGGGTAATCATAGTATACTGATGACCTCATCCACTTCCTCAAATGTTCAGTAACTCACAGCAATGATGGAGAATGAACTTCCCTTCACCTCAGTGAGACAGCAGATTCGAGCTGCCGATTCTTGACAAACACTCCCAGACACATGACAAAGTAAACACAGTAGGTAGGTACACATTCTTTATTACTAGTTTGGATTGGAAAACTGGCAAAGGTTGATCTTGTTGAGGTAGGTGAGATATTTTGGGCAAACTTTGGGACACTGAATTTTCCCAAGAAAAGCACGATCCATAGACCGGTAACTCTGATGCATGTCTTTGATTACTGTTAACTAGAAAAGGACTAGGGCTGGGGGCTGAGCTTGGAACTACAGCCACCGACCCTGAACACACTTTTTTAAGGCAATCAGTGTTCTTTCTCAGGAAGCCGACCAGAGATGAGAAAAACAGCTTTCTGAATGAACAAATGAAGTCGCCAGAGGATTAGCCAAAATCCCACCTCACATTTGTGAGCCTGCTTTTCTGCTCGTTGGCTGCTGGTCATCTATCTCACTTGGACCAAACAGGGAAAACTTGTCATTCAAGTTCTTCCATATTGCCCCCAGAAGTGCAAAATGGACTTGGATGTTATTTCAATTGTTTGGTTTTTTTTCTCCCCAAAATAAATATAGATGCTATTTCAATTGATTTTGCCAAAAATAGATCAGAATGTTATTTTAATGCTTTTTTGAAATAAAAGGATCTGGTGGTTATTTCAATTGTTTTTTCCCAAGTCAATATTATAAGCAAAGCAAATAAGATGTCCTTGATCAAATTTACATTTCAATTTATGCTTTTGCCTGTCATCTAACAAGATTCACAAAGATGACTGTTATTTGTGCACCAGGAAATAATGTATACGTGGAGCTTCTAACACAAACTAGACTATAAATATTTGTTTAATGAATTAAATGAAATTAGTCGAATTTTGTATTACCTATGTAATTTAACACTGCAACCCTACCAATGCTTACATGTTCATCTCTTGTCCCAATGAATAAATAAAATTCTAAACAAACATATTTTTCTCCCTATCAAGTGACAACATATGTTTTTCTTTTAGTTTCCTATGGTCTTCTCAGTTCTTGAGATCTCACTGAATTGTGGGTCCATCCGAAACAAGGTTGTGTTTCTTTTGGATTTTGGGAGAACTTCTAACAGGACAGGTTCGGCTTCTTCAGCAACAAGCAGGTGTTGTAGGGCTGAGACTCAAAACAGGAACTCATCTATGAAATAAAAAGCAAACATGAAAATTACAGCAGTTTTCGATGGAGCATTGGTATTTTCAAAGAAGTTTCAGGAAACCATTTTTCCTCAGGATATTTTCATTCTTACTTACCTTCCTGAAATTAGTGTGTTTGTTTTGGAGCAACACACCCATTCTTAACCATTATACAGGATTTCCTGCATTTATAGCAGGATATGCGCCAGTAAAAGTTACTACTTTTACAGTAAGGACAGTCCCAATCCTTTAAACTGCTGTAGGCAGCAGCCTTACGATGGTAGAACTCAAGTACTCTTTTCCCTTTTGGTTGCTTAGCCTTCTGAGGCTGAGCCTGAGCCTGCTGTTTCTTTATAATTTTCTTCCCACCACAGTTCTTCTCACTCAGAGGAGTTGCCAGGGACTTCTCTACACGATCTTCCTTGGTATGACTTCTGCTGTGCCCAAAAGCGACCTTCCCCTGGGACATTATTGTATCTTTCTTCGGGTCAGGTTTACTGCTGACTTGCAGGGGGGCTATCCCATCAGAAAACTCGGAACTTTTCAAGTTGTGGCTACTATTCTGTCCAAGAGTGGCCGTCATCTGGGGCATCACCGGATCTTTCTTCTGGCCGAGGTGTCTGCTCGGTGCCCGGGGGGCAATCTCATTAGGCATCTGTGGATCTTTCTTTTGCCAAGAGCTATTGCTCTGGCCCAGCGGGGCTTTCCCCTGGCTATTCAGTAGATCGTTTTTCTGCGTATGACTGCTGCTCTGACTCAGTGAGGTTGTCTCTTGGGGCCTGATTGGATCTTTCTTTTGGTTATGGTTCATGTTATCTTCCATAGAGCCTCCTCCACTGGGCATCACTGGATCCTTCCTCTGGATGTGACTGCTGTTCTGTGCCATGGTGGCCATGCCCTGGGACATCACTGAATCTTTTTTCTGGGCAAGCTGGATGCTTGGTTCTAGGTGGATCACCACCTGTGGCTTTGTTGAATCATTCTCCTGGGCAGCACTGCTGCTCTGGCCCGGGGGAACTGTTTCCTGGCGGGTCTCTGGATCTTCCTTCTGGTTGAGGCTGCTGTTCACGCCCTTGGCAGCTGGCCCCTGAAGCATTACTACTAAATCTTTGTTTTCATCACTGTTGTTCTCTATGAGGGTGGCCATCCTGTGGGGCATCAATGGTTCTTTCTTGTCACGGCTGCTGCCCTGACCTGGGGAGCCCATCCGCTGGGACATTCCTGGATGGATGTTTGAGTCATGGTTGTTACTCTCCCCCTGAGGCATCAAGCCATGGGGCATTATTAGAACTTCTTTTTCAAGGATGCTGTTATCTCTCAAGCAGGCTGTCCCAAGGGGACACACAGGATCTTCCTCTTGACTATGACAATGATGTATACTGTCCCCCAAGAAATTTTCAGGATATTTATACTGGCCTTGGCCATTTGGGTCACATAGCTGTGCCATTACATCTGGGGACCCCTGGGTAGCCCACAAGCCAGATGGAAAGCTCTTTTCTGGATGGAATTGGGAAGCACTTTCTGCCTGTGATGCCAATGTTCCCATTGCACCTGCCGGTTTTACTCCTGGAGCTGGTATAGGTGTTGAGCATGTCAAGCCCATTGACAACAGTGCATGACTTGAATGTGGATGTGACAGTGAAATTGGCAGAGAAGGCTGTACTGCCTGAAACCAAGGGCTTGTTGTTGGCATGTAGAGCAAAGTCTCAGGCACTGGTATTTGGGCCTCCAGATTTGGTACTCCTTCTGCCCCCACGGACACAGCTTCCTTTGGGTCTTCACCCAAGCACCATGGCACACCTCCAAGCTGTTCAGCTCCCAAATCTCCTACAACCTCCTGGGACAGCAGGTAAGTCTGTGTAGCCTTCTCAGCCCGCAGCAGCCTCCAGCGCATCAGGTCGCGCTCACTCAGTGTCTGCTGCAAGATGGCCTGTGTGGAACGTAGCTGTGCAGCCAAAGAGTCGCGCTCCTCTCGCAGATGCTTCAGTTCAGAGGCCAGAGTCCAGGATGCTGCCTGGCGGTCCTCTAACTGCTGCTGCAGTTGCTGGAGAGTGAGCATTTGCTGTTCCCTCTGCCTCTCGGCAGCTCGCACGCCCAGGGCCAGAGCGCTCCAGGCACAGGCCCGCTTGAGGGTTCGTGGTACCTGCGGGTCCACCAGGACGGCCTGAAGCCGGTCTTCTACCTCTGTCCACGGTCGCAAGCGGAAGGCCATGTAGAAGTCTGGGCCGCCGCCATTCATGAGGACTTCGTTGTTGACAAAGCGGATGACTTCATTATGGCGGAAGCCGCTGGCGTGGTCGCCGAAGTCTACAGCCATGGCTGCCACGGGAGGCCTTCTGAAGTGCCACTGCGGCTGGGACTAGCAGCAGCCGCTGCCAACCAGCCTACCTGCCGCCTCACACCTCAGTCCTCCCCCATTCTTGGCCACATACTCGGCCTCTTCGCCCCACTTTGCTGATTTCTCAGCTAGAGAAAGACCATCCACTCAACACGCCAACGGTCGCTGGCGAATGCCTGAGTGACGCCAGCGTCACAGAGAGCAGAGCGTCGCGCGCAAGGTCTGCTGGGAGAGCCTCGCGTGCCACAGCGCCACCTACAGGCAGGACTGACTCAGTACCAGTGCCGGAGGCTGCAGTGAGCAACCTGGGCCATATGTGCCGTAGGAGGTTGGGGATAGAGGGTGTAGAGCCACTGAGAGTGTTGCTCCCACACTCACGGAAGAGAATGAGACTTTCAACACACACACTTGGTTGGAGTTGGAAGAGTGGGTCAGAGGAGGCTAAAGAATTTATGGGCAAGTGGGTATCGGCAGGAGGAAGGGTGAGCTGCAGCTAGGCAGAGGGGACTAGGTTGTAAAGGGAGATGAACAGTATGGAAGCTGGGGAAATGGTCAAAACTCAAGATGAGAAGAAAGTGCAGCTTTGAGACAGATGTGGGCTTATCCAGCTGCTGCGGGGAAGTTGGTAGGGCAGAAGTGGAACTCAGACTCAGATATGCTTTCTGTACACACATAAAATCAAAGTCTGGCAGTTGGAAATTACAAGGCCTGAAAAGTGAAAGCCTGGCAAGCCACGCTGGAAAGGACACCACTGCATGGACCGAGTGCAGAGTGTTGTTAGCCAAACACACGGGACATAGCAAGTGAGCTATACAAGATGCCTTTATTCCAGCGAGAGACGTAGTGCTGAGGCAGAGAGAAGGTGACATCAGAGCAGAGAGAGACAAACCGACAAAGAGTAGAACAGAGGATGAGAAGAGCAGAGACAGCAAGAGGAAGAGAGAGGGAAGAACAGAGACAGAGCACAAGGAGAGAAACAGACAAATAGCAAAGCAGAGAAGAGAAGAACTGAGAGACAGAGAGAGAACAAAGGGGAGAGGCATCTTTTATGGCCTTGGGATGGAGGGGAGGAAGTGTGGGATCAAGGATTGGCGGATGCAGCTGTAGGTAGACCCAGAAATATACGCCTCAAGGGATTGGTGGAGCACACAGTTTAAACCTGAAAGTCACTAAGCTTGATTAGGTAAGTGTGCCTAAAGGGGGTTGAAAGCTAGGAGGTTTTACGCTAGTGCTGGGTAACCAGGTATTCAAGGGCACTGAGGAGACCTAGAGGATTGAAGACAGTCCTGGGTATGCAAGCATGCAGCGCATTCAAGGTGGCACTGAGTCCAGGACTGTGGGTTCAATCCTCAGAGTCCCTCCTTACAAAGAAGAAAGGAAAATCAGACACCAGAGGCATTCTTAGAAGTTGGGAAAGACAGTAAGCTGCAAAAGCAGGCATGACCTGCCGAAAGGAGGATAAGACCTTTCAGAACAGCATTCTAGACTGACATGCTCTGGCTGATGAAGAGATACTGTTGGTGATGAAGCCAGGTAGACTTGAATCCGAAAAGGGTGCAGTACTGCTGCCTAACCACTGTCTACAATGCCAGCAGTCTGTGTAAGCATCCAATCTAGCCCCCTTAAGTGACCCTGGGAAAGCAGCAGACAGTGATTTAAGTGCTGGGGTCCCTGCCATGGCATGTGGGAGACCTGGAAGTTCCTAATTGCAGCCATTTGGAAAGTAAGCCAGCAGATGGAAAAAAATCTTGCAGTCCAGCTCTGTCTCTCCCTCTCTCTTTCTCTAACGCTGGCACTGATATAAGTAAATCTTTTAAAAGACACAGAAAAAGAAAGTAAATTCTAGTGGGGATAAATATCTAGAATGCTTCTGAAGGTTTTGCAAAGCTAACAAGCTAGAGACCAGTTATTGTGCAGCTTAAGACACCTCCTGAGACATAGGCATCCCATATAGAAAGGGTTTGAATCCCAGCTGCTCTACTTCCAAGCCAACATTCTGTTAAAGCTCGTGGGAAAGCAGTGGAAGGTGGCCCAATTACCTTTGTCCCAGCCACCCACGTAGGAGACCCAGATAGATTTCCAGGCTCCTGATTTTAACTTGGCCTAGCCCCAATCATTTTGGCCATTTTGGAGAGTAAACCACCAGATGGAAGATCTCTATCTCTGGCTCAGTCTTTCTTTAACTGTCTCTTTCAAATAAAATAAATAAATTACAAAAAAAAAACCCACCCACACACACAAAAACAGTCTTCCATCCGCTGGTCCACACCCCAAATAGCTGTAGTGGTCAGAGCTGAACTTGTAGAAGCTGGGGGCAGGAGCTTCTTCCAGGTCTCTTACATGTGTGTGGCAGGGGTGGCAGGGGGCAAGGCGTTGGGCCATCTTCTGCTGCTTTCCCAGACCATATGCATAGATCTGGATTGGAAGCAGAACAGCCATGACATAAACTGGAACCAGTGTGGGATACTGGCACCACAGTATAGAAGATTAACTCAGTGTGTCACAGCACTGGCCCCATGAAGGGGGTTTTAAGTCACAAAGTAGAGCAACTAACTGACTGCTCTTTGCTCAGCTCCGTGTTATAGTTGTCATTAGCCATCCTGTCTTCAAGTTTCCTGCATAATTCCTGCCTCACTCTTATAGGACAAATTTTCTCAACATTAAAATTAAATGTGTCACTTGTGAATTGGAACCTAGCTCCTTCCATCTTCTTGGGAAGTTCAATGAAATTCTCTCCCCTGCCATCTTTTCAACCTTTTCATCTTTGTTGCTTCCTTTCCCATCTTGATGAGAGCATGTTGGAGTGTCTTCCACGCTGTGTAGTGTTCTTTCCATTTCTGATACCTTAATTTACACCCATGAAACCACAAAAAATATTCTAGGGTCACAGACCAGTAATTCAAGTTTCTTTTAACTTGGCCTTTCTGTAGCATTTGACTCCTTTTGAACATACCGTTTTTGAAATGCAATCCTCCATATTCTTCTGTAACATTGAGCTGATTTTATTTTCATCCTGTGTCTCTGGCTTCCCCGTCTTAGTTTTATTTTACTGACTGCTCTGTCTCCATTCACTCCTTCAATCCTAGAATCTCCCTGAGTTTCACTGTCAGAGCCCTCAGACCTGCGACACTCTTCTTCATTCCCAATACTCTGTATGTTTGATCGCATCTGTTAATTGCTTCAAGACTATCTAAGCTCTATTACCAATCCGGCTTTCTACCTCAAAGTCACACTCACTTAAGAAACAGCACAACAACCCTCATCAGGAACATAGTCTATTCTCCACTAGCTTCAAACTCACCAGTGCTATTTTGAACTAATGGCTTGCCAAGTTTCTCAATATTTTAGAGGACCCAGTTTACAGTGAGTGGTTATAAACATGAAAGAAAAATGTACTCTTTCCCCTCCCACTTATCTGTGGGAGATGCATTCTAACACCCCCAGTAGGTGCCTGAAACTGAGTAGTATCAAAGTTCATATATACAAAGTTCATATTTTCTATAAATATACTAATTTTTAATGTTATTTCCATCTTAACTATACATAATACCAAAAAGTGTGCTGCTCGAGGCACAAATGCAAAATTAACATGAATTTCTTTGCTGTTTTTGCAATTTCATTGATAGAAGATTCATTCTTAGCATCTCAACAACTTTAAGTTAAGAACTTTCATTTTATCCCTTAAATGAAGTATTTTATGGCTTCTCGTTGGCATATTCAAAATTGGCAGGATCACTATTCATATACTTCAAGGCTTTGATTAATTCAACTAAGTGTTATAAACACAAACACTGCAATATGTTGATAGATGATCTGATGATCCTAATGGCTCCTAAGTAACTTGAACAAGTAGTATATATAACATGCATGTGCTAGACAAAAGGGTGGTTTCTGCTCTGGACAGAATAGGGCAATGTGAAATTCCATCACACTACTCAAAATGAACTGTAATTTATGAATTTTTTAAATTTTTATTTTATTTATAAGGCAGAAGAGGAGAGAGAGAGAGATCTCCCCCAAATATCTGAAACAACCATAATGGAGCCAGGTGGAAGGGAGGAGCCCAAAACATAATCCAGATTTCTCACATGTGTGGCAGGGACCCAAGTACTTCAGCTATAATCTGATACCTCCCAGGGAATGCATTAGCTGGAAGTAACTCATTCATTAGTATGAATTAGGAGCAAAGGAGCAGGGACTCAAGCCATGTACTCTAATATGGGATGTGAGTACCCCAAGTGGTGATGTAGTAATTGTGCCCACCACCATGAATTATATATTTGTGCAATTTTACATTTTGTACTTTGGGATGGAAGCTGACAATAGGCAACTGAAACAACTTAAAGTGTAACTGGATTGGAGGGCTGTTCTATAAATAATTATATTATCTAAAATATTATCATGAAGGAAGTGGGATTTTAAAAATGGGTAGTCTTTAGATGAGGATGGTGAGGATGTAAAGAAATGTGAAACTAATACAACTAACAAAATATATTTGTCTGTTGTTTAAATTGGCTGCTTGACCAAGATTTGTACCTTATTTCATAGGACAATTGCTTCTTGTGCTCTCAGTCTATTGTGTTTTTAGAACCTGGCATCTGGTCCCCACCTACCCACCTTCTACGTTGCAGTTATTTCCACGGATGCTCTTTGCGAGAGCTACACATCTGATACCACCAAGGAGGCACCATGTGTGTACTGGCATTTGTGTTATTTCCAGGATCTATGTTGCCTTCTGGATGCTACAGGCATCATCTGCTTCTGATCAGAAACAAAGCATATTCGGCACATGAAAGTGATAACAGCAAACTTGTTGGGAAGTACAATATTCTACTCAGAGTACATACAAAAATGAAAATGTTTGTTAGGATATCATGGTGAAGGTGAGTTATTGTTTACGTAACAGTATATTCCAATCCAATGTATTTCTCTATATTGCAAGGCAGATAACAGCTTTCCCTGAAAATAATGATTTCATA